TGATACTCCCAACAGACAAGAGAAAACCTGTGTAGTGTTAATCTGGAGTTACGTATGTGCTTCTTGGCCAGGCAGTACATCCCTGGCTGCTTCTCTCAGCACAGGGATCAGTGATGGTGGCTTTCTCCCTCTGCACCAGTTGGGACCACATTTGAAGAAGGTGCATGGGATCAGTCAGCATGGATTGACCAGGGCCAACCATGCCTGGCTGACCCAGCTGCCTTTGGCAATAAACTGGCTCTGCAGATAAGGGGAGAGTGGGAATGTCATTTACCCTGGATTTAGTGAAGATGCCACTGTCTCCCGCAATGCTCATGTATCCAAGTTAGGATGTTACAGTCTGGATGGGGAACAACCAGATGAGTAAAAAAGCATCAGGATGGTTGGTCTGGCCTAGACAGGACTGGCTAATAGGTCGTCTCTGCCTGGCAGTGACCTGGCCTGTGATGAGGCAATGGAGAGCTCTGTCATTGTGTTTGCAGATTACACCAAACAAGGGGACTAGTCAATGTGCTTGAGGGCAGGGCTGCCATCCTGAGGGACATGGACAGGCTGGAGGAATGGGCCATGAAATTCAACAAGAAGTCCTGCACTCTGGTGTGAGGGAGCAGCGGAGGTGGGCTGCTCCCTGGGGAATGGGGTTGAGGAGCACAGCACCATGGCTGGCAGCAGGGCTTCACCAGGGCCTGCCCTGCATGTGACAGACAGCATCTGGGGCAGCTGAGAGGCCACATCACCCAGCAGGCTTGTGGGGACAGGGCAGGGCTGAGGTCAGGCAGAGACATCAATCTGAAGATCATGATCAGGCCCTGTGAGGGCAACTGGGGTCAGACACAGCTCTGGGATGGCTGCGTTGCCCTGGGGATGTCAGTCAGCAGGTGGGACTTGGGTTTGGTGAGGCCTATGGGCAGCCAGGCAGGGCTGTGAGGAGATGGAGACCAACATCTTACAATATCATTGAGGCAGGGACTGATGGCTCCAGGCTGGGCTGAAATGGTGTCCTGGTATGTGGGCAGGGTGGGGGGGCATCCTGGACATGGGGCGTCATGGCCTGTTGGTGCTCCTGGGGTCCTGTCCCTGGAAAGGAGCCACCCCAGCACTGGTATGTTCTGGGACTGGCTCGCAGGAGCAACTCTGAGGGGTCCAAACAGGCAGCGAGGGGGTCATGGGCCATCAGCAAGACCTGGCAGCAACAATGGCGAATGGCAGCCTGGGCTGTGTGAGCAGGGGCAGAGCCAGAGGTCAAGGGGTGTCACTATACCTCCTTCCCCCTCCCATTGCTTGTTAGACCACATCTAGATAGTGCATCCAGCTTTGGGCTCCCCAGTAGAAGACATCGATAAACTGGATCAAATTCAGGGCAAGCCACTGAGATGGTGGGGCTGGAGCACTGGCCCCATGAGGAGAGGCTGGGGGAGCTGGGTGTGTCAGTCTGGAGCAGAGATGGCTTTGGGGAGGGAATGGATGTTACAGAAGCCCCCAGTGCCCATGGGGAGATCACTGAGGAGACAGCACAGGGTGGAAGAATGAGAGCCAACCGGTGTTAATTGAAAGAAGAGAGGCTCAGCCTGGAACCTGTTTCTGCCCTAAGCACAGGCAGGCTGAGGCATCAGTTGTGCAGAGAGGCTGACCAGTCTCCATCCTCAAGAGGTTCTCAAGCCCCAAGTGGATGAAGCCCTGAACAACCTGGCTTGACCTCAGAGGTGAGGCTGGATCAGAAACCAGCCTGAGCTACCCTATGATGAAACCATGAGATTTATGTGCTTTTTTCAAATGTCATTGAGATGTTAGAAAGGTCAAAGGTCATCTGGGGACACAAGTGACCTAATGGGTGGACAGAGACCTACACAGGTACACCACTTTGGCTCATAAACCACATTTCCTTCTGAAATGAGGCTGAGGGACTGTGTCACTGAACCAGGTACCACACATCCTGGCTGTAGTAATTAAGGTTGAAAGGCAGCGGTGAGTTTCACACACCATCACACTGCACATGCACACATCCACTCCACTCAGGCCTAATTCCACCTGAAGTGATTGTTCACGTGGAGCTCATCACCTTGTAAAACTACTCATCAAATACAACACTAGGCCCCTACCTGGAGTATCAGCTCTTCAGGGCAAGTTGAAGGCATACATGTCACTAAGGGGTCAACACATTTACTATAAAGATACTCCTGCTGGTGGAAAACTATTTGTGTACTAGAGACCCCTCAGCTGTCAGGGAAGGAGAAGGCAGCAGTGGTGGCACCAGAGCCACCCAGCTGGGTGACCACTGCCTACAACAGTGTGATGGACCAAGGCTGGCTGTCTCATTTGAAGTTATCTATGGCATCATTTGCCATCAGCACCCCGGTGACAATAGTCAGATGCTGGATTTTTTTTTTTTTTAAATAAACTGCCTATGGCCTTTGCAGTAAGTGAAAAAAAAAACACAGTACCAATAATTTTTTTTTTCATTTGAATGCAGAATTTATTTCAAACTAATTTTAAATATGAAAACCCTATAAATTATGAACATTTATAGAATATACTTTTGCCAACAAAAAAGCTTGGAAGAGCGAAGGTGTCAAAATCTGGCTCTGCTAAACTGAATGGAGCTGATCCCTACTTAAAGGTTAATGTTTTCACAAAATTGACTGTTTTACAGAATACCTTTACTCAGTGTAAATATTAGTTCACAGATCCTCAGTAGGCTGCAGTCTTCCACAACTGATTTATGACTGAAAGCATTTTCCCTTGCTTACTTTACATCAAGCCACCTGATCTTCTGTACACACAGCATAGCAAATGAAAAAAAAAAATGACAACTAGGTGAGAACTTAACCCAACTTGTGTTGAACAGGTAGAAAAAAATTACAAATAAAAATGTTCTAAACTATACACTTCTAGTCAAGAAAAAAACATATGACCGTTTACTTCCTTTGTAAACGTTTCTTGTATTATTCTTTACGTAGACTGGTATTCCCCATTTTTGGATTAACATATTTTGCAGAAACATACAGCAGGAGAAATTCCTCACTGATACTCAGCTGGTTTTATTATCATACTCTACAGAAGCCTGTGCATATAAAATAGAGCTGTTTACAGAAAAACCATCATTTCTTCTTAGAGTACCACATTTTACAAGATTTTAATTATATGTCAGTCATTGCCTTCCAGTGTTGCATGTGTCAGCATACGCTTATATCCTTCCAAAACAGGCATGTTGTAGAGATCAATTCTAACTATAAATACATAGTTTATATTACTCCTTCTATGTACAACAAAAGACAAAGTTACCCAAGTATAAAGTAATAATACTTACATATTGGTACAGATTTGAACTACAGACCCACTTCTTTAACGAAGTTTACTGTATAAAAAAATAAGGATACCAGTTACCTACTATAGTATTTTCATCCTTTAGTTTCTTGTGGAGTAGTCAATGATAACAAGCATTGCTTGTTTTGTGTAAAATGTATCATTCTAAAATACCATTATACTGTCCTTCCAGCTACAAAAATATAATTACATCCTTGAGAAATTTTATTGAATTAAAAAGTGTATCAAAAATATGGATCATCACTTTAGACCCCATGTGAAATTAGCCATAAAGTAGAAGTAAATGTATAATTACTTTAAAATACTATCTTCTGGCTCAGTAAGCCACTTCTGATCTTGCTTAAAAGGAAATCAAAGCTTGGTTAGAAATTTAATGGCCAGGGAGAAGTTTTGGCTCCTGAGTAAAAATACTAGATTGTTAGTGTGGCTGGAGAACCACCACTGGAAAATGTTTACAGCCATTCTGTCTGAAGGATAAGAAGTGCTGTGGTGACAGCAGGAACGGTTGAAAAATACCAAAAAGGGACAGTAATGTAGCAAAGACCATTTCTTAGTGGGTTTATTTACTTTGTATACAAAAACCCACCAGTCTGTGTGGCACAGTCGCAACCCAGCCAATGTCCTCTCGGGCCACTCCAGGTGGTGCTGCCCTGAAGGAGACCAGCACCTGCAGGGCCCTCACCCCAAGACCAGCTCAGCACAGCAGTATTGGTTATGGTTGTCTTCCCACTCTTAGGACAACTTAGGACTCAGCCTATGAGGTTGTATAGGAAATAAATAGGGTTTAAAGTGTCAGACTATTAATCCAAATTAATCAGTTCCTAAGTCAAAGGCAGAAATCTGGCCATTCATCTCAGCTGTAACCAAAGCTTTGCCGGTTATCAATCTCTCGTGTCTGAAGAGCAGCCTTCCTTACTCAGCTGTGTTTCTTACCACCTTCAGGAGTTTGGGTGAGTTTTCCAGTGCTGTGTCCTTTGCTGCGCTGTCTCCCATGCACCAGCAGCACATCTCTAACTCACATTGCTCACTGTCTTGCAGAGCTGAGGAGAAAAATCCAGGTGTGGAATCCACCTCAGCTGCATGGCAGAACAAATGCCACCAGGGAGATTGCTGCTACACTTCTCAGGAATGCAGAAGAACATTCATACAGAATATGCTGTAAAAATTGAAGAGGTTTCATTTTGTGGGCATGTTTGTTGGGTGGGATGGATTTGCATTATTATTTGCATCGAGCTGGTAAATGAGGAAAACTGAAGAAATGTAAATTGATCAGCAAAGTAACCTCTTGGTTTTCTGTTAAGTCTTGTAAGAAAAAGCAGCTCAAGCTAGAATTTATCCATTCCAGCGCTGCGTAGCTGTCAGGAGCCTAAGCCACTGCTTGCTGACTCAGAGGAAAGCCATCCCTGCAGTTACACTGCCCAGAGCTCCACAGCTGTTTACCTTCTATTACTGGGAAGGGAACTTTTAACATTCTTTTTCCCTGCTCGGAGAAACAACAGTGGTGAAGCCACATATTTAATACAAAAGTCAGATGCTCAGCTAACATAACATACTAACTTCTTTAAAACTGATGAAGTCATACCAATTTGTAGCAGCACAACTGGCTCAAATTATTCTGCGTGGTTTTCCCGCCCAGAAATTACCAAGCTATCATGTCATCTCAGTACCACAGCCCTTCATAGCTCTGATTCTTTATCTATCTCATCTAGGTAGTATTCATCGTCGGTGGTGGTATCGCTGTCCGAGTCCGAATAAGCTGCTGGGTCTTCCCCATAGGTGTCAGTCAGCTCTCGGGGGGACGAAGCAGCCGATGACATTTTGCTCCCAGCAGAACTTGAGCTCAAAAGCTCAGCCCTGTTTATAGAAGGGGCTTCCCCATCCCTGAGAGCACCAGGGTTATTAAGAAGACAAGGTCTCCATAATCGCCCTTCTGTGAGTGACCTCTTGATATTTTCCAGGAAAGCCAACTGTTGCTCTTTGCCAAATATGCCAAATTCAACAGAAGGATACATCAGATTTCTAGTGCTGTAAGATTTTTCATCATCTGATGCCCAGTTTTCATTCTCATCACAAGACAGCAGCTCCGAGTAGGACTTAAATCTCTTCCCGTGTACACCATCTTTTGGTAGAAAATTGCTTCCCAAGGCAAAGGTCTCATTGGCATCTCGAGCACAAACACCCTCAGAAAGGTGACGCTCACGCAGTTTGGCATGACTCTTGTGCAACTGATGGCTATGCAAGTTAGCATTTTTTAAGCTGGCAGACTGAGAATTATTTTGACACTGACCAAGCACTGTCTTGGAAGTCAGGTTTTGCTCTGGACACATGTCTGCCAGCAAGCAGCTATTCACACACGTGTTTGAGTTCTTGTCAGTAAGAAGTGGCACGGGAGGACTGCAGGCACGACTGCTAGCTCTTTGTTTCTCATCATCCAGTGGGTTTGCTGTAGTAGCATTGGGAGAGATGGGCTGGCTTTTGCTTTCTAACCTGGGATCAGGTGTTTGGGAATTCTTATTTCTTGTGGTTCCTGCTTTATTTGGTAATTGGGTTTTAACACTTGGTCTATTTTCCACTTTTGCTGTAGGTTTTTTGGGACTGATGGCTTCCTTCTGGGTGTATGAGCTTGTAAAAGACCTCCAACTGGTGTTTTTAACAAGTAAAGAAGGATCATTCTGCTTTCCAGTCTTCTTATTCTCAGCTGTTCTTGTTCTTGGCATATGCTTATCAGGGTCCAGACTGCGATTCTGATTTTCACTGTCCAACTGCAGGCATGGCTGATGGGAGCCTGTTGAAACTGGTGAGTCAAGGGACACGTCAACCTCTAAAGTAGTACTTCCATTGTTCTGTGAAAAAATATTACTTACGTGTGGTCTAGCAGGTAAATTTTTACTTGAAAATTTCCGACTTGTTTTGTAAACAGCTGCCAGTTTATTTTTAACTGAAGGTCTGTTTTTCCTTTTTTCTATATCTTTGACTTTGTCTCTTGTGCAGTCAGAGAGACGCTTGTTCTCGTCTTCTGCACCCTCTGTTACCTTCTGATCGGGTGTAACCCTGAGGACTTTATCCTCACAGTTACTGTTCAGACTGCCTTCACTGTGCTTCTCTGATTCCTGCAAACCACTATAATCTTTAGCCATCTGAGTACTCTCTGCATTTTGCTCTTTTTTAATTTCTGAATTCTTTAATTCATCTATATCTCTGCTAACCACTTTGTCTAGCTGAAGTAATGGACCAGCACTGGAAGCTGTGCTTACCTCAGAGGCTTTGTTCTGAGACTCTGAAAGCACTTTGCTACAAGAGTCTAAATCATTCACATTTTTTCTTGAACTGTCAGCCCCTAATTGCAGTCCACTACATTTATTATCATACAGAGAGGTGGTTTGGTGCAGGAAGTTTACTCTCTGCTTGACTCCAGTACTGTTGTCCCTGTATGTGTCTTCCACAGGAGGAAGTGGCATGTCAGCACGCTCTGTGCTACCCTTCCTTCCAAGGGAACTCTTCTCTCTTGCATGGACTAGTAAACTGTTCAGATTTTTACTGGTGTTCACTGTAGGGGGCTGACAGCAGTTTTCAGAATTTCCCTTCTGTATAGTATTTTTGTTTGTTGAAGTAGAATACAAAGGATTCTCTAAACATCTGCCTGGCTTGGGAGGGCTTGATAAAGTGGACAGTACCGGTGTGGACGTTTGTAAAATTTCCTTCCTTTCTTTTAGACATATTTCTGTATTTGAGCTGCTTGAAGCATCAGAAATGGCCTTACCTGACTTAGCCACTACTGCAGTGGACTGTGGACCACCAAAGGAAATTTCTTTTGTCACTGTGTCAGAAAGCACATTTTCTGCTAATGAAAGATCTGCTGAACTATCTTTCCTGCTACGAACCATACTCATTGACTTTGAAGTATGTATATTCTCAGAGCTAGGAGATAAGTGGGAATTCTCTTCTTCAGTAGTATCAGTAGTTCCTAAGTTCTGAGGTGTCACCAGAGCTGAAGATACTTTGTCACAAGAATATGGAGGGACCTCTTTTTCCAAACTACTGGGGAAAAACACATTTGCTAAACTAACGTGACCTTCATTTTTCTTGTTTTGTATTCTTGGTGACTGAGCATTTTCCTTGGGACAAGGTACATCTGCATCCTCTGGATTATCTCTGAAGAGGCTACAAAATGTTCTGGAATGCCTCCGTGGTAATGTGTAATAAACTGAAATTAGTTCATGATACTTGACATGATCTTCATCAACACAAACTGTAAATGTGCTTGTAGTTTTATATTTCTGCAAAAAATTTCCCCTCTCCTTACAATCTGAAACCACAGAGGATTCTCTTCTGCTTAGATGTTTACATCTGTCTGTCAGTTCAGCTGAGGTACTACTACTTCCTGAGTCACTGGGACTTCCTGCTAAAGGACTGGGGTAATCTTTTTCTTTGTTACTTGTGGCAGCATTTAATGCTGCTGATGTTAAGAAGGAATGTTTTGAGTTTAAACAAGACACATCTCTTTGATCAGAACAAAAGCCATCAGCCCTGCATGGTGTTTCAGACCTTAAACAACTGCATGTTGTTCTGCTTTCTCTAGGCAAAGAGATGGGCGTATCTGACATAACACTACCAGCAATGCTGGCCGATTTTCTAGGCAAGGTGTAATAAATAACAAGTGGGTCAGGAGATGTGAGGCTGTTTCTGCCAGGGGAGCCAGCAACACTGCAGCTACTGGTATGTCTCAGCAAGCCATCCTGCTTGTGGAGCCTTTTAATACAAGGTGAACTACTCGCTATTGTTCCACCTTCATTTTCAAGGCAAAAGTAACTTAGACTACGTTCAAAGATCTTGGAGTCTCCATCAAAGCTATGCATATAAATATTTTCAGAATTTCCATTTTGTGGAGAACTAGTAGTGAATTGTCCATTGCAGTCATTATTAACTAAAGTGCTTGTATTTTGCAGTGTTTTCTGTGAATTTTTTTTGGTAACACCTATTCTGCTCACTTGAGCTGTTTTTCCACCTACTGCTTGTGATTCAATAACTGTGCAATTTACTTTAGAACATTTCAAACTGTCTTTATGAGAAAGTGTTTGTGAAGAGCTTTGTGAGGAGCTAGATGAACATTCAGGAGGATGAGGCAACATGCCTTGGCAGTTTGCTAATTTTTCAGTGGATGGAGCAGAAGCAATATTCAGCACTGAGGACAGTCTCTTTGGAGTAGCTTGGTTAATGGCTTCTGCACTCCAGCTGCCCTGTTTGATGGCCTCTCTTTTTGCTGCATAATGCAGATTATGTTCCCATTCTTTCTGACATGGAAGAAAAGGTTCCCTCCTGCTCTCATCAGCTGGCAAAATGCAGGAAGGCTGACTGAACACACCGTTGAGTGGGCAACTGTTTTCCTTCATGTGTGTATTTCTTTTATCACCATTTGATGTATACATTCTTGCAGTATCTCCTCTGGCAGTGACCTGGGTTTGTCTCTTTAATCTTACTGTGTTAAAGAGAGAGGCATCACTTTGCAAGGTGGCAGAAGCAGGGCTGTTGAAGGGAAAACTCCGGGTGTTGATGTGGTTTCTATCTGCTTGCCGAGCCGCTGACTGTAACAGTATGTCCTCATCTGAGAGTTTCGTACCTTCGACCTTTTCTATTTGTGTAAATTCTGCCTTAGCACTTCTTTTGGCAGAAACGACTGAACTTCTCTCCAGTCCTTTTGTTTGGTCCTTCAAATTAGAAAAGACTGACTCATCACTTCTGACACTCAATGAAGACACTGAAGAGTTAGAACTTCGCCAAGGCCGACAGCCCTCAGTGAATTCTGAAAAAGTTCTGCTTGCACTTCTTGTTATCCTCTTGATATTTGTATTTTCTGGAGAATACATGTGAAAATCATTCTGCAGGCGCTGTGAACCAAACTTGGCATTCTTTGTATGTGCCCACTGCTGGTCATTTAAATTAGCCATAAGCACTTCAAAGCTGGCATCAGGAGAAATAAACACCTCATCATTGTAATACTGAGGAATATCAGCCCAAGAAGGATAACTGTCCTTTTTTCCATAAGGAGTGTTTTTCTGGTTTGCATACAACTTGCTATGAGAAGAAGTATCTTTGTAGTAGGATCTGGAGAGATTATTTTCCGATTTGTACAACGGATAATTTTCCCAGTTATCAAAGGGCAATGGAGAAGTAGCTTTGTCGGGGCAACTAACTCTGCTAAGGCAACTACTGCTTGAAATAGATCTTCTGTAGTGGTGTTTTGAGTGGTAGCTTGTGTATTTCTTGGTTTCTCGCAAAGAACTAGAATATCTACCATGGTCTGTAGCGTGAAACTCCATCAGTGACTGGGTTCTAAACATTTTTTCTGGAGTTGATGTTTGTCTAGGAGAGTCTGGTGTGTTGTTCCATACAATAGAAGACAGAGGAATTCTTTTTGGGTTCTGTCGACCAAACCTTGGTAGAAAACCATTGTTGCTCTCCTGTGCCAATGGATGCTGTGAACTAGATGCCAACAGCTGGTCAGAAGATACTGATGATGGACATCTCTGAAGGGAACATACAGAGTAACTTCTGCCAGCTGAATCCCTGTTCATACAACACTTGTGCCTAAAGCCACTGTTCCGTGTTATGGAAGGAGGATATAAGCTACCTTCTGAAGACCGTCCGAAAGAAGTGGAAGACAGCCTGCTGCTTAGCAGATGAGGATTTCCATCAACTGGATCACCATACCTGTAATCTTCTGGAAAGGCTGTCTGCTGCCAGTTCATATATGCACTGTGTAATTTCCTTGGTCTGATGAAGACACTGTGTTCATCTTTGGCTCTTATTGTTCTCAGCCCCTCTGGGAAAAATGTGCTAGGCACGTCGCTCCAGTCATTCCTGTGTTGCCCCCTACCAGCAGGCTGCCTCTTTGAAGTAGGAAAAGCACCACTGCATTGGACATCTGATGCACTGCTAGTAGAAATTGTCCTGTCCACCGGCTCTTGGGCTTGTTCCTGGGCCAGCTGGTCATCCAGATCATTTAGAACTGCACAGGGAAAAAAAATGATACTTACGTTTTGTTTTCTGTAATAATCTTCTATTAATGTTTAAACTTCATGTGCTAAATTAGTAATCAGAACTGGTTTTGAAAGGAGTCAGCTTCTCAGCATTTAAAAGCCCTCCCAAACCACACATTTTTCCTCCACAGCAGTCACCCATTATGACTACACATAAAAACATGTGCCGCTCCATGACTGATCTTAAAAATGCATTTTATGTAAATGCTAGTCTTTGCACTATTTAAAAGAAAAACAAAACCATTCGTAGTCTGACTTCTTACTCATGGACTGCACGTGTCTGTGTTCATGTGTGTGTGTAAACATCCCAAACCTAGTTTGTACGCAAAAAATCCTTGAATCAGTAGGCAAACCCTTCTGTGTATCCACAAAGCACAGTTATGATGTAACTGTAAGAAAACAGAATCCTGCAAACCATCAAACAAGCATTTTTGGTGGTCTGGCATGTCCACTGTTTGTTTCATTCAGCAAATAAGTTCACTAAATTGTAGCATCTTCCTTTAAAAATATGCACTGAAAATGGCATTTTCTGGATAAAAAAGAGTAGTGAAATAGATAGGAACCTATGATTCATTCTAAAAACAAAGCTGACAAGCAGTCTCATAAACTGAAATTAAACACTATACAGGTCAGTTAACCAAGATATTCAGTCATAAGACTAAGTGACACCAATGTATTTAAAATATTTTTATTGGCAGAACCAATTATACCTTTGCTAATTGTATTCTTTTTGTACTTTGAGAATAGCACACGTAAGATATAAACACAAAAGGATATGGCTGGCTTGTTACAGCATTTCCTAATCCATTTCAGTGAAAAAGGCTGACTGATCAGTCATTATAGATGTGTGCTAACAGTACAGAATCATTAAGAAAGCATTGCTAGGTATGTATAGCTGGAATAAAAAGTGATACAAAGGTATGAAAATTTTCATTGTTCTAAGTTTCTCCTCAGCACAGAAGAGAGAAGACTCCTGAGAGAGTCAGTTTGAACAAGAAAGAGACAAGTGGTTTCTGACTCTCCCATCTGGAGGACACCAGCCAAGATATGTATGCTTTTTCTCTCTCAGTGGGCAAGTGTGTACTGTTATGACTGACACCCAAACGTGGTGACAGACATGAGTTTCATAAGAACCACTCTCCACCATGCCCTGCTCTTCTCTGCCAGCACAGTGCACCCACTGCTTCCTCATCACGCTTTCCATCTGTGATCTCCTGTCATTTTGGGTGGTAGGAAGTAATAGTCATGGACATTGTATTTTTTTTTTAATTTGAGAAAGTTTATGGAAGAACACCTCTGTATTTCCATAGGCTGGGTCTGAGCTTGCCTCACTTCCCAGCAGTTAAAAAAAAAAAAAAATCAGGAACTTTTGACTGGTGCTATGAAGGCTCCCAGAAAGCTAACTGAATGCCATAATGCCTCTTGCTTCTTGTGGTTTGAGGCTTTACAGTTCACAAAACCAGGTCCACTAATGCATCATTATCTAAGTTATGCATGCAGAAAACTGGGATGAAATTCTTCTCATACAACTGTTATGTCTGCATTTAAAGGATGTGATATGGGCTTCCGTGAGAACCAGCAGAAAGAAATGTATTCTTTTAAGGTGTAATTCTTCTGAACTGGAGCAGCATGTGAAGTAATGCACTCTTAACAGTGACCACTGACACATCTTGAAGTCAGTCTCAAAGCAGAGATTCTGCTGTCAGACAAAGCCAGCAAAAAATAGCCACTACGCTAGAAAGTAATGAGCTGCATCTTTACAGCCTATGCTTTTGCAGAAAATTCTCTGAAACCACTCACCACAGTCACTTCTGGTAGTGATAATACTGGAACAAAGTAAGGAGACACACTTACCACTGAAAAACTCCTTCTCTAGCTGTTCATTCCATTCCTGTGTACTTTTCTCCATCATATCATTTTGGTTTGCATCAAAAGAAAGACCACTTCTTTCAGCTGACATTGCAGAATTGCACGTTTCAGCCTGTTGAAAATTGTAAGGCAAAGTGGTTTTAGTTCTACATGTGGGCTCAAATCACATTTTGCATGTCGCAGCACAAATCGTGTCACAAATCACAGAGGTCAGTAAGCTCTTTGTGGGTCCATTAAATACTGTATTAAAATCTATAACTGAGGATTGTAAAGTTGCATGCATTTTAGAGACTTTCACAGACATAATAAGGAGGTTTTCTCATCCTGTCCTCACACTGTAGCATGTTTTGATACATGAGTTATAATATCTTATAAGGGGCATAGTTTACTTATTTTTTCCATATGCATCCTTATTGCATTGTGTCTTTTTAGTTTTTCCTAATCACTTCTTCCTTGACCAGGACATTGTAAAATTCACACACTGACCTCCTAATGGAGATTTACAATTTAACACCACAGTCAATTTTCATATTGCAAGACAGCACTTTGGGGGGTGTGATAAATTACCGTAGCAGTGGGGAAAATGTCATCCGATTCCCCATCTGAGTTTAGTTTACATATGAAGCTTGAGAGGTTCCTATCCCATCCATATTTCTCTCCACTCACTTTCTCAGATGGTAGAAATGCAGACAACTGCTGAACTGATTTATTTTAGTTAAGACACTTCCTCTTTTTTTTAAAATAAAAACCCTTACTACTTTTTAGTTGTCAATACTTGTAATGTTTTACTTGTCTAGCTATAATAGCCTATTTCTATAATAGGATTTTCTGATAAGATCTTTGTTCACTGATATAGATTATGCCTTTGTTTTTGAAATAGGAGAGAAGGGAGGTGGCCAAATTACCTCCTCTATACCTTTGATTATATACTGTATAACTTCTTAGTCCCATCCGTGGTTATACCACACAACTGAAGAGGAGGAAAGACATGTTAGTAATACAGGGCAATAAAGTAATTAAACCAGCAAATATAATCCTTGGAGGAAATCTGTTTATTTCAACAGCGTGCATTTAAATTACATCAGAAATAAATCTGTTGTTTCATCCTGAAATTGAGCTTGTGCTTATAGAATGGAACATTCAGTCAAAAAATAATTTCCTACTGTCAAAATTTACATTTACTCAGTAATTCTGCACATGGAGATGTTACAGGAGAGGCTCTAGTGTACTGCCTGCCCAAGTCAGGTATTCTTTTCCACTCTTGTACAAATGAAAAGAAACAAAGTAAATACACTAGATTATTTATTCAGTATTGAGTTTTGACCTATTTGCAGGTTGGTTAGGCTGCCAAAATACATGAGGGTTTTCATCTAGGAAATTACCCACGTAATTATTCCGTCATTAAGAGAGAACTGAAACCTGATCAGAGCCAGACTTAGGGCTTACCTAGGAAAGCTTTGGCCTTGCATGGTTAACAGCACAAGCTCATTCTACTGCATTCAAGAGGCTCACAATGCAGACATTTTACTTGATGTTTAAAATAAGAACTGGTAAGTATACTATTTAAACAGGCATTATATCAACAGCTTAAACAAAGGGGACTGAGTTTTGAAAAATCTGTGGTTTACACATTGCTAACAATGAAGCTACTTACCGTTGCCATTTCTTCCACTTTCGAAGTGGGGCTAGCAGAATTGTCATATCTGTAGGCAGAAGGATTGAAAAGTTTGCTTAGAAAAAGAACGTGACGTTATCTCAGAAGCATCTGAAAAAAGACTATGATGAATCCACCCTTCCCCCCTAAAAAGTTCTGCTAACAAAAAAATGTTGGGGAAGAGTACCATTCAGTTCAGCCTTGTCAGCTTGCAATGTCCTGGGTGCACAGCCAAGAATGAAGTCAGTTTACTGATAGCTCAGTGTCTGCAAGAGCCATAAAGTAACTGTTTCAATCCAGCCTTACAATAAGATGGTATTACTTTCTTTTCCAGACAAAAATCATTTAGAAGCTACTACTAAGAGCAGGAGTTAATTATTTCTAAATCTGTAAGTGGTTTGCACCTGTGATTCTATTGTTTTTCTCTTGCGTTCCACCCTGCTCAGACACAGAGCTGTGCTCTGCCCCTGCACAGGAGGAGAGACAAACAGTAGATTGTTTTCAGTGTGAACTTTGGAACTTGCTGCTATTAACTGGAAACAGCCTTTAATTATCAATTTTTAACACATTATAGAAGGCTTATCTGCTTTCCTAAGCTATACAGGACTGCAAGCACTTGGCAGAGAGCTGGCTGGAGCGTCTGTGAGTAATGCAGTGGTTGGAACAAGCTGAGAAGCCCTGAACATAAAAGTTATTCTGTTCCACGGGGCAACTTACAGACATACAAATACAAAATAAACTAAAGAAACAAGGCTTGACTTCACTGAGTCTGTTTGAGTCTGCAGATCTTTATTTTACAACTAAGCAAACCCAGCCCCTTCAAAAGCCCTGAAGGAAATGCTGCTCAGCTTGTGCTCATTGCCAGTTCTTCCTTGTCTCACAAACTGTTGTTTCCCAGGAAGTTAAAACTTGAGAGCAAGTGAAATAGGGGAAGACAGTTCTGCTCAGTCCTGTTTGTCTCAAAGTCTTTTTGAATGACCTTGTTCTTAGGCTCTTAAAACCTTCCTGTGCTCAGGCAGACTACTTTATTGTGCTTCAACAGCAAGTATAAACCGGCTTGTTGGCAGGTTCTTTGTGGCCCAGCCTTTCCTCCTGAAGTGCTTTGTCATTTGTTTGCAATGTGCTTGCAGGCAGGGAAGAACAGTTGAAAGGTGCAATTTGTTTTTGCTTCTGTAATTGTGAACTGTAAAACCAGGATTCCTCTCTGACATGGGGTCCAACTGAAACCAAAGGAAACGAGCCTGTTGACCTCAGTGGGCTTAGGATCCATCCATCCAAGCTGAATCTGAAGTTCCTGATTTTTCCTTGTAGCACTGAACGTGAACAGCCAGTAACACAGTGGGTTACTGCTCCCTGTGAATGAAGCTTAAAGAACCAGGACTCAGAGACGTATGTAGCTCTTCCTTTAAACTAAAATAACGTTGAATATGTTTTAATGCATCTACAACAAAGTAAGAATGAAACTCACATTTCAGAGTTCGTAGAGTGATTTCCTGCACACCAAGATCAATGAAATCCTGTGGCTTAGTGAGTTACCTTAATTTTAACTGTATGCAAAACTAAAATGTGAAAACTTTGTTAGAAGCTCTCTTCTTCAGTTTTACTGTGCAAAGCTGCTGTAGAGTTCTCCCTGCCTGGTACTGTGCTAGGTGTTGGGTTAATTGCTCCTTGCAATGAAGCTGCATGAAGTAGACATGTTAGTTAGAAATGTCTTTTGATAGTCTAGGCAAAAATTTAATTTTCATTGGCACCTCTGGCATTATTCTAAATTTCTCCATGTCTTTGTTGTCACTGTTCTTTCAGAAATAACTGGTCCTGGCTTTCTGCTTTATTTTCCTCCCTGACAACTTATACAGACAAGGTTATTTTAATCTTTTCACTATGCCAATCCCTCCACTTCTCAAACCGCCTCATTATTTTTTCAAACTTTTAAAAGTTTTTCAACATTTCACAATTAAAGTTATGCATACTTCCAGAGAAATATTACTTGATTTTAGGAAAAAGTAATTCAGTTTCTTTTTTGGTTAAGGATATTGAGCAATGTTTACATTATTTTGCACACACATGCACGCATACACACACATATACTTGTAAACATTATCTATTATTCATAAACAGAAAAGAAGTTAAATTACTGCTCAAGTTCAGAAATACCTGACACCAAAAAATTACTCCTCACTACGGAAAACAAGAATTTATATTTTATCCCTTTGCACTTACACACATATATATCTTTTTTATGACAACCGAACATATGATTGAAAGTAAAAAATGCCTCTACTTACTGCTATTGCAACTGGTAACAATCATATAAATCCATGAATTAAAATCTGCTGTGAATTAGCATTTTCACTGAGGCACCTGTCTTCCCCAGGCCACCTCTGAGTTGTCTGAGTGTAATCCATTTTCTTCTATGCTATTCTCGTTAGTAGTACATAAGAAGGCAGGTAAGCACCAAACACACAACTCAAATATGCTGAAAACACAAACAGCATTTCTTTCCCAGTATGAATCACACTTACACATGAGAAGAGCGTAAGGATAAATTCAATAACACCAAATACCTCTGAAAGAAAAGCGATCAAACATTTCACTGCCTTCAGACTACAGTTACAAACCTTTTATTAGCATCTTCTGTATCCCCACATAAGCATACTCTTTTTTGCAGCATCCATAGTTTGTTCTCACAGGAAAACACCACCGCAGCTGATGAAACTGTCCAGTACAGAAAGGACCCTCTAAGCAGCCATCGGTATTTAGCTATTTAAACGCTTCTGCCAGTTAGGCTTACTTACAGGATTTACATTGCTGCCTCCTATTGTATTTCACTAGCTCTCCAAAGTAACTTTACCTGGTGAGAGGCAGATTATTTCAGTGCTTTGTCTATGCATAAAGCAAACCACATGCCACGGCAACACCTAGAAGAGGGTGGGGGAAGTTTTCGACAGAGAGGCGTGACTAGAAAATGTAGCAATCAGCTCAGTTACACGTCAGGATTGACTTGTTTATTTTTCAAGCTCTGCTCTGTAAGAAATCAAAGGCACCGGAGCCTGAGATAGATTTTCTGTGGAAAAGCCAGATATTAGACAACACATATTAGAAAAGCTGATGCAATGAGTAGGCATGGTTTATTGTTTTGCCTTCTTACATTAAGAAATCATTTCAATGCTCAGATTTAACAGCGAAGCCTAGACTCTCTCTTGTGCATCAGTGACCTTACCATGCACTGGATACAGCACCTGTGAAATGGGACTCTCAGTTACACAAGTGCCCCTTTATTCTGCAGGGAGAGCTGGGGCCAGGTGTTGGTGTGTCCCAGCATAAGAGCCATTACCATGTTACAGGAAAGAAAAGGAAGCCAACAACATGTATAGATCAGTGTCCAAACTTTGAAATTTTTTTTTCTGTGCTTCATTTCTCTGTAGAATCGTTAACCAGTTAACATGAACAAAGCTAACCTCACAGCCTCTATTCAAATCTCTCCTTAAATCTCCTGCTTTGATACAAGCACTCCACCATGGCAAGCTGCTGTGCTACAAACCCTAAACATCAGATAAATCGCGATTTCTTCAAACCTTGCATTCCCTATCATTGTTTTTTATAGCTGTCCCTTGTTTTAGCATCATGCCACCTAGGAGCCCCAGGCATGGACCAGAATACCAGGCACAGATTCACAGAGTGAAAATCAGCTCTTTGTGCCAAAGATCTTGCAGCTTCATACTTCAATTTTGCAGCACTCCACAACGCACATTTACCTATGACTGCCAGTCCCAAGCACTACCCTAAGGTGCACACCAAAATAATAGTATTTCACTCAGCTGTGGCTTTGCCCACACAGGACAAAATTTAGGAGAGAACAGTCAGCCTAACTACGCTGAAAGCAGCCCCCCTGAGCCCTGTTCCCTCTGAACAGCAGATTTCTGTGTGGATGGCAAGGGAGAAGGATGCCCATCAAAGAGCAGCTCCAGCGCTGTGTGAGCCCAGCTCTGGTTCAGATCCAGCTGAAACCAAAGCCCTGACGAAGCACGGAAGACAAAAGCACTGGAGGGCCGCCCTGTTTTCCCGGCTAGAGCCAAATCTGCCAGCCTGCCTCTGAGCTGCCTCTGGGCTAGACATGGTGGGAACTGATGCAGGAGAGCTGCCTGGGGCAGGTACTCTCTCCCACGGCCAGGGAAAGCTACTCTTTCCTGTTTTATCACAGCCATAGGGCACCAGATCCCCAAGCGCCTTACGACTTGTCCTCTTGAGAGGGAATTAGCTGAGCAGCTGCTGCAGTGTCTAGGGGCTTTCATACCCTTAAAGCTTTATGCAACACCTGAGCAAAACAGATGTAACCAAGAGAATTTACCTATTACTTGCCACTTAGTCCTCATTTTTCTGACACAGAACAGATAATCTCTCATTACATGACCAAGTAAAACCCCAGTTTTCCTAGTGAGGTCACAGGCAAGAGACTGGAAAAGTAATTTTAACAATGTTTACTAAGCAAAACAGAATTCATAGACTTTATAAAGGTTGGAAATAACATATGTTCTGATTATAGCTCACCGTGGTTGCTTCTGAGTTTGGTTTTTCCTCGATTTTCTAAAGGAGAAAAGCCATGCAAAAGGTGATCTGAACCCCAGAAAGGAAGCTGGCGTGTTCTTTTGTACTTGAGGATTTGTGCAGGATGACATTTTTAATTCTTTATGATCTAAAAATATAAAAATTTGATTTGTTTCAAGTTTTTACTAAATACAATATTAAAATATACATTAAAAGTTACATCTTCGTAAACAATTTTCTTTTGCTTACCTTTTATGCCAGGAAAATCCCATTTTATTGACATTTTTGGACAGCCTATGTGACATACTAATTTACATTCACTAACTAGAAGACTAAGACAAAGATAAACAGGTCTGAAGTGTCAAAAAGTATTATTTGCTTCGGGTGTTACAAGTGAGATGAATAAGGCTGATTTTCAGAAAGTCATCAGCACTCAACCATTTGAAAACCAGAACCATTTTAAAATACAGGCAAATTAGACACTTAAAAAGTAAGGCACCCAGAATTGTTAGGCACCTTCTTGTCACTGTTGTAAGAATTATGACAACCCTGCATATACAATAGTTTAATAGATTGTAGAGTAACTATATAACAGTAACAGAAACTAAGGTATCGTCTCTATCATACAGTTTTTTATGCTGGGATTCCCATGGCCACTCAGATACATTTTTTCTGCTACAAACTGCACATCAGACCTGTATTTTAAATGCAAGATGCCATGAATGATTTCTTTGGGAATGTTATGATTTAATTTCTTTGAATGGAACATAAACCTAGGCTACCTGTAAAAGGAGCTGGCCATTGGTGTGAAAGAGAGGATGAGTATTGCTCACTGATTAGGGAAAAAACATGCCACAGAAACTGGAGGACAAAAAGAAGCAAGACTTCACCCAGGAATAATGCACCACATCTTTTTTTTTTTTCCCCACTTAAAACATTGCATGCCCAAAACAATACAACAGCCTGAAAGTGGCTTATCCAATGACTGGAGAAGTGTCACTGGTAACAACAGCACGGGGCCTCGTCCAAAATGAAGTGAATAATTTATGCCACATGATTTAAATCCTGCGTGTAATACATGGCTTCCACTTCAGTGACAATCACTGTGTTTTACAAAATGCTGCATCCTTTACCCCTTTCGGAGGCTAACCTCTTGGTGACATCGCCTTGACAATGAAGGTGCCATCAGGAGAGTCCTAATAGCACTCTGCCATAGCTAGGATGGTCTAAGGATGTAGACAGAGCAAGGCTTGCAGGGTAGAAGTAGTACCTTATTAAACCAACTTATGCAGTTGGAAATAGCAGACAAGCCTTGGAGGCAACCCCTTCTTCAGATCTGAAATAGAAACAGCAGCTTTCCAAGGTAAATACCAGAGCACAATTACACAGAGTTTAGTTAGATAACACATCAATTAGACCATCTCTGAAAGAGAAAAATAGGAGATAGATGTGGCCTAGAGAATATGTTGCAGAAAAAGAGTCTGGAAAGACAGATCTGTTCTGTGTAGGTCTGCAGTTTCAGAAAAATTTTCAGGGTTTCACATTTCTTTTGAAATACATGACTCTGCTTCCAGTTGCTATGAAGCACAAATAGGAATAGCGCAGTGAAAACATGCAGAAATGTCAATGGAATAAAAGCATGTATTATGCATGAAAACTTTTCTGGATGGAAAGTGAACCAGACAGTAGAGAATGCTATGCTTGGTACAGAGACACTGTGTCTTGTGCATATTCATTTTGGATGGGCAACTGAACCAGTAAAATGAGATCTCCAGGAGCTGCTTGCTGGTCAGCCCAACTTCCCAGGCTGTCACCCACCCTGATAACCAGCACTGGCATGCCTTTAGTCCAGTGTTACCAGGACAAGTTTTCCAGTAGTACAGTCCAACCTCTCTCATCCAAACTCAGCTGACCTACGTATTCCAGATGTCATTTAGGTGTTTCTAGTTTCTTTAAGAGAACTAGGTAAAGCTGAAACAGTTTCTGTACAAAGTAAACACTATTGTGTTGATTGAGAAACCAACACTATATTTACTATAATTATAGCACCTTCATCTTGATTAAGTAAGGATTTTTTACAGTGAGGACTATCAATCACTGGAACAACCCACCCAGCAACACGGCAGAGTCCCCATCACTGGAGGTTTACAAGATGTGACTGGATGGTGTGCCAGATAATCTCATCCAGGTTCCCTTTCCCATCAAAGGCTGGACCAGAAGATCTTTTGATGTCCTTCCAGCCTGGGCTGTTCTATGATTCTAACTCTGAGACAAGATTATCAGCGATTTTCTGTTGTGACTCCCAGCTGTGCTTTTAACATAATCTGCTTAAAGAAACATAGTAATTTTGAAAATATATAGAATCATAGAATGTTTTATGCTTCGAGGGACCCTGGAAGTCCAACTCCCTTGCAGTGAGCAGGAACATCTTTAACTACATCAGGTTGCTCAGAGCCCCATCCAGACTAACTTTAAGTGTCTCCACAGATGGAACATCTACCACTTCTCTGGGCAACACACTGCAATGTTTCACCACCCACACAGTAAAAAAAAACATTTTCATATATCTAGTCTAAATCTGCCTTCCTTTAGTTTAAAACCATTACCCCTTGTCCTGTCACAATAGACCCTCCTAAAAAGACTGTCCCCATCCTTCTATCAGGTCCCCTTTAAGTACTGAAAGGCTGCAGTAAGGTCTCCCTGGAGCCTTCTCTTCTCCAGGCTGAACAACCCCAACTCTCTCAGCCTTTCCTCACAAGAGAGGTGTTCCAGCTCTCTGATCATTTTTGTGGCCCTCCTCTGGAACTGCTCTGACAGGTTCATGTCTTTCCTGTGCTGAGGACACCAGAGTTGGACACAGTACTGCTTACCAGGTATCTTTGGTAAAACTTTGTAAAGAGAAGACAGAAACTCCTAAGATATTACATTCTAAAATAATAAAAAGACATCAGTTTGGCAACCATTATCATATAGATAAGAAAATGGAAAAATGCAACTCACTGATGGTTTTGTTCTTCCTTAGCTGATGCTCTAATGGTGTTTTTAGCATTCTGTTGACATCAGTTTCATTCTGAAATTTTTTTCTTTGTATTTCTTCAAACCATTCTCCAGTCACTCCCTGCAGCTCTGTTTCAGACTTCTTTCTCTTGAGAAGTTTGCTAGAAAGCAGAATAAAAAATTAAAGCCATTTTAGCTATTACAAGCACATAACTAGGAACTCCCCCTGTTATTCATTTAAGCATTTGCAGTATATTTCTACAAATAACGATTTTTTAAGATACAGTGGGACACGATACATTCACAGCAATCACACAGAAGTGTTAGTGACAGCAGAGTTCTCCAGCTTAACAATGAGGTTGTGTGGCCAAGGTAAGTGGACAACTCATATGCTTGCATTATCCTCTGCCTCGAAGAAGTACATCCTTCTTCCTTGCCAGAATTAGGTAATAATTCATAAGCATTACAAAACTAATTGAAAGTAAGATTAAGTTCAGTCAATAATTGAATTAGAATAAATAGTACTGTAACAAAGCAATTCTTGAAATATTTATTCACTCATTTAAGCAGCAGCAATAACAAGATTATTCTGATTTTCAAGATGAAACTCACTGAGGCCCTGCCAGTGAGGTGCCCACCACACATTTTCTATGTAAAGGAGAATAACAAGTTGTCAATTCAGTTAATGGGTATCCATGCAACATGTCAAACAAGTTTATCACATTTTCCTCTCTCCTTGCTGCATAGTGATTCTGCCTGCGTTTAATATGTACGGAAGCAACTAATAATGAATATGAATGTTCTGCCACACAGAGGTGAAGCCTGAACAAGCTACACACATGTGGCTGCAACTGAAGAAGCTGTTTAGTAGCAAGTTCAGGTTTTCGACCAAGAGGTCACAGGAATGAATCCTTTATCTGGGCATAAAAGAACAAGATACAGTTGCAAATGAGTAGGAACAGTGCAATGGACATGCAAAGTTATTTGTTTTCCATTTATATCAGACAAGTGCGTAAAGTACAGAAGCAAAAGTGGCAGATCTGCACTCCAACTGATTCTGATGGTAACAGAACAAGACTTCATGCACAGCCTAGGGATGCAATACTAATGTTTTAGCAAGGTTTTAATGTAAATATTTTACCTTAATCAGTGGTAGAAGCCATGTCTAAGAATAAAGATGCTCTCAAAGAACATAAATTACTTCAGTTATCAATTTACATAAAAATTCAGGGTCTCTGAGACAACGTAACTTCACAAAACAAATTTGAAATGAAATATCTAGTCTGGAAACAGATGTATTGCCATCTGAAACTGGTATAGGGTCTATTGTCCATACTAACACCTATTGTTCATCTGATGGCATCTGAAGAATAGGAGGGCAGGAGAGAGACACTTGTGGTGAGTGAGCAAGTATTTCCCTTGAAGATCACACAGACAGATGCACAAGTACTACCCATTTGAAATAAACTCACTACAAAGACAATAAGGTTAATCATCGCAGATATTGCTGCACCACGGGAGTGACTAAACCCCGTAAACGCCATCTGCAGCCTGGCAAACAGCCCAGCAGTGATGTGAGACAGGAGGAGGTGATGAACAAAGTGCTATCAAGTGCCAACTTCGTGACCTCACTCCTGTGGCCTCAGCAAAGGGGATCCAAGATACCAGCAGGAGTAAAAGCACGCAGAGCCAGGCATGAGGTGTTCTGGGAGCGGCTGCAGTCGCGGCAATTGCCCGGAAAACAAGCCCACAGTGGTTTTGTGAAGTTCTGGAAGTAGAGACCAGCTCTCGTACCCTGCCAGGACACGCTGGTTCTCCTCCTCGGGGCGAGGCCCGTGGGGCTGCCGCTGTCCGGCAGCACAGCCGCGCAGCCGCTGCCCCGGTGCCTGTCCCGGGCAGCTCCCCAGCCCCCTGGGGAAGCAGGCGCTGTCTGCGTGCAAATGTCTGCTTGCTTTACGTCCACGCGTTCCGGAGAGAAGAAGAAGTAGGGAACCCCACGCTTACTCGAACGTCGATTGTATCAGGCACTGCATGGACACGCCTTTCCCCAAAAAACATATTAAAATCTTGCACAAACACTGTCATTAATATTTAAACACTGTAAAGTCTTTAGTGGTACGTGCTTGGCATTATCTGTAGTCATTATCTGTGCATGTGCTGCTTTTGAATTGTGCTGTCATCCCCAGCTTATGCAATAAACCCTTTAAATTGCTGGTGCGTATTTATATTTACACATGCAGGCCCTGTATATTGAACCCTGTATATATAGTTATGTGAGTACTGAACAACATGATACATTATATGTAATTGCAATATCGCATGACTATTAAATATTTCTCTTTTGCAATGACTCCCAGCCAAACCACATCATTTCCCTCTATACCTGCTCTGTCAAGTCTGCATGCCCCCTCACGATACTAACGAAGGACAGTTGTGAGCTAGAAGGAAAGACCGTCTCAAGAAACAATTACAGCAGGAGATGGTATCTGCAGCCAGTATTGCAATGAACTTGCCTTTGAGGCAGCGCTATTGTTACTTGGATTGCAAATTACATATTGAGACACTGCTCCGTAGGAGTGTCAAAACAACTAATGCCCTCTAAACCAAATGTACTAATCCTGCTTCCCTGTCCGCTCCATCCATCCTTCCTCCTTGGTTCTCTACAGCTACCCCGGACACTTGGAGCCACTTCCTTCTGAGAGGAGACAAGGCCACTGTGACACAGAAAAGTACCTGTGGCTGTTGCAGGATTAAAGGGATTTCCATTCCTCCAGTCTTCCTTCACAGGAGACTGCTGCACAAACCGGAGCAGGCAGCAATCCTAAATGACTTCACAGGCTACACCTCATTACCTTTTCCCATCTATTATCCTACACAGCATCTAAACTAATGAATCACTCAGGAGCAATTCCTTTGCACTGTTTTTAAAACCATCTCTTCCTTACTGGCACAAGGATGATCCAGTACTTTTTATACAGACGTCTCTGGGGAAGTTAACCTAAATGTTTCCATGAACTAGACTTTCATGTGGGTTATCATAAATATTGCGAAAAGAGCTGTAGCCTCCTCCTGCCACTTCCTGTTAGGATAATAAGGAGCTTTAATTGCTACTGTAAGAGGAAAGGTATTTTCTCTACCATCTTATCCTGAATATAAAGCAGAAGACAGATGTGTAAGGTAGTAGAAACAGGGTTGCCCAATAGGACATCTAGGGACATCTCTGCTGTTTCCAGGGGACGAAGTATTCAATCTCCCTTTTGTCAAGGGAGAAACTGATTCCTAATGATATCAGCGGAAGCAGGATTTGGCCCTGAAGGACTCTTACCACACCTCATGAGAGAACAGGTACACAGCAACCACTGAGCACAAGGAACTGCACCGAATGAAGGATAAGCAGACCACTGTTTGCTCATTGGATCAAAGTTCTTGGTGTCTGAGAAGAAAAGGCTGAAAGGACAGCAGGTAAAGCCAGTGCCAAAAGCATGACACAAAAACTACAGCAGGGCAGATGATCTGCAAAAACAGCTACCTAAAACAAGCTTAAGTCTTTACTCTGTTTGTATTCCTTACTTTGTCACTGACAAAAGGCTAGAGATGTTAAAAAATTAGGATTCAGGCGCTAATTTTTCTTCCCCTCAACTTATCACCTTGCCTCCACTGTATACATTGTACCACACTGGTGAACTGTGCATCTCTATCATTTCTATGGGCAGTTAATTTCTAGAAAACTCTGGCTGTTATCACGCCACAAGCAGCTCTAAAATGCATAGACAGGAATATTTTCTTATGGTGCCTTTTAATTTTATAAAAATAATTTAAAGATATACTTTCAAGTTGTCATCCAATTTGAAAAAAAAGAAGGGGGAAAGAAGTGTTACTGACAACGGAAGTACTACCACAGCTGAAGTACTTGGAAAAAATAATCAACTGCCATTTCATATAACCATATAATAGCAATAACAACAACATTCTGGTTTCCAAGGTGCCAGAGAAGCTCCTGTGGCAGGTTAATCCTACCAGGAAGAAAAATAACAATACACAGAGCCAAGGTACTCTTTCCTAGTACACCATATGCACAATAGGTCTATTTTCTAAGGCAGTCTTTATTCTTAGTAACTGGTGTATTTTTACTCACAGTTAAGCCATCTTTTGTTTATTTTTCTTTCTTGCTGTTTTCTGTTTGACTCAAGTCAACAAACCAAGTCAGCCTCATTTTTAGGTATAAAAGATTATGCAGAAGGAGGTGAATCAGAGGAAAAATGACGCCCATGTTTTGGTTGCACACACTACAAGACAATGTAAAAAACTCTTAATGAAAATGCACTTCTTTTTTCTTTGTCTTTTGTATTTGTAAAATTAAGAATTTCTGAAGTAATTCCCCCCCAAAAATCACAGCCTCCACTATTTTAATGAACAAAATGTTGCATTGGTAATAATGGTTAATTCTAACCTGCTAGGTCATTGCTCATCAACCATTCATTTAATTTTCTCTTCCCCCCAAATACTAGTTTTCTATCAAAGGCATCATTTTTTTAATTATTGTTACTGCTCCTGTAATTTTTATTATATATTAAAAAATGTATTATAACAAAACTGACAATATTATATTACATAATATTTATTTATTCATATTAGTATTACTATCAATTTAATTGCTAATTAAATTTACAATTGCCAATCACTTGCTAATATTGCTATCAATATTATATATTGGTTTTATAATGCCTGTTAACCCACTAAGTTGCTCTCAGAAGACGTATTTGTCTGAGTATGTGACCAAGAAAACTAAAATGTGTATTGGCAAAGAGGATGTGCCACAGTGAGGAAGACCTAAGAGTGTGTTCGTTGAATGTTTCTTTCTGACCATGACCCAAATACCAATAAATGTAATGGGAGGACTTTCACTGTCCTAAACAGGCATCAGGCCAGGCTGCTGGAGAGTCGTCTAGTGGTGACACCTCTGAATGGAACAAAGCAGCTGGAAATGCCAAGAAAGTTCCACTTGAACCTGAAAGGGGAAACACTTCATAGCCCAGCACTGCACTGCAGGGGATATGTTTTCAATCCTTCTTTGATGGGGGCATAAAGTTGCCAGCTCACAATTTTCCCTAAATATTTAAATTTCAGAAATGTGCTAAACCAGAAGATGGAAGCAGGGACA